TTTTCTTCAGCCAAACTTTTTTCCTTGTAAATCTTTTACTCCTTTTTTCCTTTCCCCAAACCCCTCTAGAAATGCTGCCTTGGTCTTTTTATTGTTGGTTAAATAGGTTAGAGTTTTATTATAGAAGCATAAGCCCTTCAATTCCATTTTGGAAAAAGGCAAAACGTAAATTACCATGGTGGTGGAAAGTTGAACACAGTATTAGCATTCCAAACTATCTAGAACCAGGGTATTTCCAGGAAGCTGAGGACAAATTGCTCACTTGGAACAGCTTTCTGGGGTAGGATGGCTGAGGACAAATGCTAGCTTTTGGTTATTTGGGATGTTATTGCCAATTTCCTTCCTGGGCCATCATTGCCACCTGAGCATTTGAAATGAGTTTGGGGTTCTCTGTGCTGTACCAAGATGCTGGCTAATGACTGACCAGGCAAGTATGGGGTTCCCTGCTTTTTTGATCACTAGGGAAATAGGCCTTCTACTCTGGCCCAAGGGCAGTTTGAAACTGATCTTGAGTCATAAATTGCTAGAACTGGAAGGGACCAGATATCATTTAGCTCAGTCTTCTCATATCATAGACTAATATGGGTTATAAGGGAGCCTTTTGAGGTCACATAGCTAGCTGGTTGCAGAATGAGAGGAGAATGTTGGTCTTCTGATTCTAATTTCAAGGTCCATCTGTATTATCTAAGGCGTCTAGACCTTTTGAACTGCTCATTAGGCTTGCATTATGCAAAGAGCATTGGATAGGAGACTTTCACTGCCTAGCTGTGTCACCTTGGGCAAATCAGTCTTACTAAACCAAGTTACCCATTGGTAAATGGAGATAATGGATTCCTTACTTGCTTCATAGCATACCAGGTACAAACCATATGCATGTACACTTGTCTTGTTCTCTTACCTCATTTAAAAGGAAAACAAAAATGTGACTCCCTTGGACTCTTACTGATCTCACCACGCATTGCATTCCAACTCCTTTCTGCTCAGCTCTTGTGAAAATGGCTCCACTGTGGACTCTCTCTGTTAGCCCCCTTTCTTTTTTGTAACAGCAGTTAATTTGTTCTCCTGTGAGTTTTTGTGGAGTTCCCTTTCATGCCCTACCTTTCCTTTTCACTCTTCAGGTAGTGCTATGGGTTTGACTTTCTCTGGTGGTCTCTCTGACTGCTGAGCTCCCTCCTGATCTTGGGATAGTGTCAACTTCTGGAGGGTAGAGACAGCTTTATTCATTGTATCTGTGTCTGAAATATAGTAGATAAATCTTTAAATTAATACATGATTTACAAGGCAATAAATGTGAGATCCCTCTCAAAACTGTCTTTGTAAGTATGTACACACATATGTATATTCTTTTTTTTCTTTGGAGTCTCACTCTGTCGCCCAGGCTGGAGTGCAGTGGCACACTCACGGCCACCCCAGTGTTGACCTGCTGGGCTCCGGCGAGCCTTCCGTCTCAGCCTTCCAAGTAGCTGGAACTACAGGCATGCACTACCATGCCTGGCTAATTTTTGATTTATTGTAGCAACAAGGTCTTGCCAATTTGCCTGGGCTGGTCTCGAACCCGCAGACTCAGGCAATCCACTCGCCTGGGCCTCCCAAAGTGCTGGAATTACAGGCTGAGCCACCGAGCCGGGCCACACATAAGTATATTCTTATATTCATTTGTATATATGCATATGACTTAAGACTGTCTCTAAACCTGTTGCTGAATGTTTCGTCTTTGGGAGGGATATTTTAAGTTTCTGTCCTGCTCTCTCAGTTGGTAAGAATCCAGGCAGAGTCTGATCTTGTTGAGCTTCCTTGGGGAATAACATCAGCAACAGTGCAAGGTTTAATTCTCTGGTGGGGGAAGAACAGTTTTGGTAGGTAGAACTAGAGACAGAACTAGTTTCTGTGAAAAATTAAAATTGAATTAATAGAAACTAACTGTAGAAGTAACCCGGGCTTTAGTTTAAATGCAATATTCACTTTTCTCCATGTACTCTAGCTCTGATTGGAACATATTGGTCCCCAAACTGTCCTTTGAAATGCTAATTAACTAGCTATTTAATTTTTCTCTATTATGCTTTTGGAGGCTGGGAACTGGAAGAACTGCCAAAGCCCTGAAAAATAATCTCTGGGCCCAGGGAAGGATCTTAACCCTATAATTTGAACTTAACATTCAAAATTGCTCACTTTAGACTCTACACTGTAGAGTGGTACTTCTCAATTTTAAATGTGCACATAAATTTGCTAAAATGCATATTCTGATTCACTTGGTCTAGGGTGAGGCTCAAGATTCTGCATTTCTAACAGGCTCTCAGATGAGGTTCATGCTGCTGGTTTCCATTAGAAGTGGAAGGGCTTCCAAAGTTAACTTTGCTGTCTCATTGACCTGGATTCATGGTTAAGTTGATAGCATATCCTTAATACTTCATCCCATCATGGGAAACCCAGAGGGGACCACTGTATTGTAACAGAATAACTGATATTCATGAAGATGACTTGGAATTCTCTTCAGTGACTGTCTTAAAGGCAGGTAGGAAAGTATTCATTAAAGTTGAGATATATTTTCATCAGAATGATTAAAACCAGCTTACATGGATAAATTCCATGTGGGAAAAAAATCACCTGTGAAGAAATCTTCATTCTTAAAAGATAAGCACTTAATGTGGTATTTTGCTAATACATAGGTTTTTTTGAGGTACCATCTGCCATTTAACATCTTTGTCTAGACTAGCAGTAGCATTCTAGGTTGCTTTTCTGGTGAGGAGTATAAATAGAATCTTCAGTTGGGGAAATCAGGCTTGGCATGGAATCCAGTCTCCATCACTTATTGGTATTACACCCTGGGCAAGGTCTCAATTCCACTGAAACTCTTTTGCTCATATTACTATTTCATCCCAGGATTTTTAAGAAGTCACGTGAAAGTTCATAGTTACTATCCCTTCATCACTTATTATTATTATTTTCCCTTCTACTTTGATCCTGGTGGGCAGCTTGGTGTGTGCCATTTGGCAATTAGTGATTCATCTTCTTGGCTACTTTTCACCTGAACCTGCTCACTGGCTTCTATTTGTGGGAAAGCTGCTTTGAGGTATGCAGACCTTTGTAGACCTTGGCAAGTCTCTGGAGTTCATAAAGAACAGCAGATATTCTTACATCTAAGAATAGACCGGAAGAGTATATGAGGGAGCCAAAAAATGTATATAAGTTTGTGAACATCATACTTAAAGTGTGTGTATACATGTTTTTGGCACCCTCTGTAGTTGAACCTTTTTCACAAGGCAAAAACAATAAGGCTCCCATAGATTTTTGTCTTTATACACATTTTATGTTAAACGTGCACACTTTGTCTTGTGTGAAAATAAGTTAACAGTGATTGGTGACTTTTTCCTGGGTCTCTTTCTTAATAAACGGTCCTAATTTCAGGCTCCTGTGTGTTGTGTAGGCTTCTCTAGCTGAGGTGGTGATAAGATTTGTTCTTAGTAAGGGTGTGGCTGGAGTTCATTTGTCCTGTAACCTTTGAATTACCTTGGTCTGGTGAATTGTGGTTGTCCTTGGTTAGATCAGGCACACCCAACATAATACTTGGCTCTCCTATACTCTCTCTCCTGAGTTTGCCTGAGTCTTCACTTCTCTGGAGTCCTATCTTTAAAAGCAGACAACTTGGAAATGAGAATTTTGTTGCCACTCTGATTGTTCCTATGTTCTTGGCTGCCTACTCTCCATATCCTGCCATTCTCTGCTCACACCTTACCAAAACAATCTTTAAGACTACTGATTTGTTACTCAGCTTTGACTTCTCAGAAAGGACTACTTGGCATTCTCATTGGCCTTAAAGTAGTGTTTCCTAATCAGGTCTTAAACCCTAACCTTATTCTGTAGTTCTGTAAATAACTTCTGTCAACCTATTGCTTTAACTGTTTTTTTGTTTTTTGTTTTTTTTGAGTTGGGAGTCTCACTCTGTCACCCAGACTGGAGTGCAGTGGCCACTCCCGGCCACCGCAGCCTCGACCTGTTGGGCTCCGGTGATCCTTCCGCCTCAGCCTTCCCAGTAGCTGAAACTACAGGCGCGCGCTACCACGCCCGGCTAATTTTTTCATTTATCGTAGAGATGAGGTCTCACCAAGTTGCCCAGGTGGGTCTCGAACCCGTGGGCTCAGGCAATCCACTCACCTCAGCCTCCCAAAGTGTTGGGATTACAGGCTGAGCCACCGAGCCTGGCTTGCTTTAACTGTTTAGTCCCGATACCTGAAACTGCTTGCAACCGGTGACTTGGACTTGGGAACCCCTGGTTTTAAAGTTGCTTCTAACTTGTTATTGGCCTTTAGCAAACAATTTATCCACATTGGACCTAAATTACTTTAACTTGTAAAATTAGGATTGGGTCAGAAGTTTTTCAAACATTCTGTGTTGGTTGGAGTGGGGATGGGAATGACAGGAAAGTTCAGTGGGTAGGATCCTTCATTTAATTAAATGATTCTATGTTTGTTTTTCTGTTGGAAACTTTCACTAACTTGGAAGAACCACTAGAATAGAGGTCTTTGAGGTTGCTTCCAGCCATGGCACTCTATGATCCCTTCTAGTAGTAGCATCTATATTTAGACAGACGCCTAAGCTGTATCACAAACACATTATGGCACTCTACATCATCTAGTGTGTTTCCTGATACTTTTCCCCAGGCCTCTGGCCTGGCCATACCAGTGCCTTGTCCTCCTATTCCTACTATTCCCAGGACATGGAACATTTGTAAGCCTCACTTTTTCATTCAGTCCTACCCAGCCTATACGACTCTAGTGTTATTGTACTGTTCCTTAAGAAAGCTCCCCCAGTTGACTGTTGTTCTAAAGTACATTTTTCACTCTTGGCTTAGTACACTTTGTCTGGCAGTTGTATCTATAAATCTCAGAGAAGAGCTGGGTCTCGGTATCCTCATTCCAAACCACCCCAGTGCCTAGCGTTGTACTGTTCTGAAAGTGCCATAGATCCAAGTCATATGGCTTAAATATTATTTTCTCTTTCAGGATCGAATCATCAATTTAGTTGTTGGCAGCTTAACATCCTTATTGATTCTAGTAAGTATCTTTATTTTGTGCCTCATTCAGGCTAGTAGCCAAAGTTTTAAAAACATTAGTATTACAGTTCAACTAATTCTCCAAAAATAAAAGTAAAAATCTTAAAAGGGCCTAGGACATGAGCGTGTGAAATGTTTGTCGTAGTTAAATCAGTGCTTTCAGTTTTATTACCATTAAACTGCAGTTGATAACTGCAGTAGCTAATTTTATCTTCATCCCCACCCCCCAGTTATACATGTACAATAGCACAAGTCAGACAACTTGGTTTTCAGATAGCTGAGTTTGCCATGCTTTGCTTGCCTAGCACACTTGTGAAAAATGTGACTACCAGCAACTCCCTTCTGCCATAACCCACTATATGTAACTCTCCATTTCTGTTTATATTGTGTTTACTTTGTTCCTAAGAAACTCCAGTGCCTTTTGGTTAAGTTTTTAAAGATTTGGTCAGTGTATAGTAATGAAAAAATTACTGGGTACTGTCACAATAAAAGAAAAACAAAGCTCTGTTTTCCATAGTCTGACCATGACATTTGATGGCACATTTCCACTAAATCTAAGAGAATTTTAAAGTTTTTTCCGTGGCTTCTTAATGAAAAGATCATGTAGAATGCTACATATGTGTTAGAAACAGAATTACAGGACACTAGAAACCCATCTTTAGGTGTTTTTCATAATGTTAAAGCAAGACCAGTTTTGATTATATTCATTTTTGATAGGAGTGTTAAAAAATAACACAATTGTGAGAACTCTTACCAGTAGCATCATCAGTGATTTTTAATCTTTGTTAATGAGGTTATTCTGAGATATAGTTTTACTGTTGTTTTGTCTCCTTTTATAAGTGAGAAGGGTTAGAAAAAAGTATTAAAAGAAATAACTCAGATATATTTATAATTATTTATTAAATATTGAATTAACATTTCAGAAAGTAACTCTGGTGGTTTTTTTTATATATTTTATAATGTGAAGCATTTTGTAGTATTAGGTTGCCTAGACTCCAGTCTAACCAAGCCTTGGAATTACTCTTAAGGCCTCATATAATTTCTCTTCATACAGGTAACACTGATCAGTGCTTTTGTTTTCCCTCAACTACCTCCAAAACCATTGAATATATTTTTTGCTGTCTGCATCTCTTTGAGTAGCGTTACTGCCTGCATACTTGTGAGTACTGTTTAGAATTTAAATGGCATGTTTTGAGGGCTTACTGTTATAGTGGTTAGGACAGAGAGCATAGCTCTGGGTCTGTGTGAGAGAGTACCTCTATAGTTATATTCCCATCCCCCCAAAAAGATGTCAGAATTCTCAATCAATAAAAAATTGCACTTTTAAAAAAAATTCTGAATTTCCTTTTCTCTGAAGTCCCAAAGTTGTAACCCTAAAGGGAAACTGTTCCCTTGATAGCTTAAAAAATGGAAAAAAAATTAATGGAAAGACTAATTTAGGGATTGTATACAGGGCCAAATAGGCTTTGGGAAATGCCAATTACTGCTCTTAATAATTACAAAATTAGTGTATTTTACTCTATATGCTTATCTCCCACAATGGAGATAATTAACACCAAAATCTTCTGGGAAACCTAAAGCTGCAGCTGTGTCCTTATGGCAAGAATGTTTGACTTTATGTTTTTTTATGGTAAAGAACAAAGATGGTGGTGGCTTCTCAGTGTCCAGTCATTCATTAGTTGGCTGCTATTTCATGTCCCCTGAGAGGAAGAATCAAAACAGTAAATCCTTTAAAACAACTGTTTTGATTCACAGTGGGCTTAAATCACACTAGTAATTTGCTTATCTGAGTTGATATTAAACCAGGAGATAACCCTACATGTTCTAATTCACTGATCCTGCTATAGTACTCCCATGACCTGTAGGAAGAACTGGTCTATCCCACTTTGGAAGCCTTCCTGTCCCTTCAGCCTGCAAATGATTTACAATGAGCTAGTTTAGTCCAAATGTATACATTATGGAAGCCCTATTTTGTATTGGCAATCTGAATCAATCATGTGAATTTAAAAGTTGTTCTCTATTCCAGTACCTAGGCAAGTCATACCTTTTCCTCAAATATACTTAAAATATGTCCAGGTATACGTTTTCTTGGATAGTCTGCCAAATGATTGGTGGGCTATACAAGTCTGGACATAGAGGAAAGTAAACTGAGAAAGTAGGAATAAGTATGATCTTGGATGTGGAAACCCAGATGGTACTACATGAATTATAAAGAATAAGAATTAAATTCTGGCTGCATTAGTCTCAGAAATGTAGATTACTATGGAGACTGTCTCATTTAGGGTAATAAATACTGATGAGATTTGTAGAAAAAGAATTAGTTGTATTTTTAAATTTTAGTAGTTGGCCCAGCAGCAGCTGTTGCTTAAACTTTTATTTAATTCTTCTTCTTTTAGATCTACTGGTATCGACAAGGAGACTTAGAACCGAAATTTAGAAAGCTAATTTACTATATCATATTTTCTATCATCATGTTATGTATATGTGCGAATCTGTACTTCCATGATGTGGGAAGGTGAGGCTGCTAAGGAGAAATACTTACCAGGACTCTTCAAAATGATGTATTAAGACAGAAAATTAATTGCTGGATAAGGTATGCTGAGGAATCTCCTTCAGAAGTATGATACATGATTTTCATGTTAATTGTAAACCTAAATTCCCTCTTGCAAGGGAGACATATCATAGATCACTTTGCTTTTTCTTTAAGGAGCTGATGTTGCACTTAAACATTCCAACCCTTCAAGCTCAACAGCACAAGTAATTTTCACTTTTGAAATTAACATTTTTTACAATGTAATTGCATGGTGAAAGGCTATGTAACAAACAAAATCTTGCATCTTAAGACAAATATTCTTTTATTTCTGTTAAACTGAATATACAATTGTTCCCTAGGCAACCAACTTTTGCTTATAACTACAATTTAATTTCACGTTAACAAAACACAGACGGTGAAAAGACAACTTTGATTGTGAAGATCTAATTACAATAATAAATAAAATAATTTATACAAGTTCTTTTGTGACTTTTCTATAGGGATCATATTCATTAAAAGCCCTAAAGGTTAGTTTTGTCTTAACCCTTCTCTAATACAGGAATGACTCTTGATTTGTTTCCTTTTGTTACAGAAGCAAATTTTGTTTTGTTTATTTTAAATTGCCTGAGAGGAAGAAGTTATATTGTACCCCTCAGCTATGCACTAATCAGTGAATTACAAACTCTGATACCTCCAATTATCTCCTGGGTAATTTACATGTAATAAGTGGTCATGGTATCAGAGATGGGCAACATTACCTCCTTCCCCATTCTATTTTCAAAGTGCTTAATTCTGTAAACCAAAGACAGTGGTTTCTGAAGGGGTGAAAACTTCTTAGCTTCTGGTGGGTTTTGTTACTACACTTTTCCATATTCCCTTTAAAAGTAATAAAAAAACCTGTAGTGAATTTTAACTCTTTTAATGCTTTCTCCTCTTTGACCTGCCTAAATCAGCCCCCACTGCCAGCAATGGGTTAAGTAAAAGTAACTGCCACACGAGCACCTCCTATTTCCATACTAGTATGCTGGTCAAGTCTCAAGCTAATGATATTAGTCTTTTTGAAGAAGGTCACTGATAAGCTCTAGACCATGTTGGTATGACTTCCCTGAAATATAACCAGGCCTCCTTGAAACTAGATAGAGTGCCATTTCTGATCCTTAGAGACGAATAGTACTGCTTTTAAACCAGAGCAGTTAAGCTTTAGTGATTCTAATCTTTCTTCAGTGGCTGAAGTAATGAAGTTCCCTACTGCCAAGTAACACTAAACATAGGGTTCTATGCAGTTAAAACTCCCATATTTCACTCAACTACACTGTCATAAAACTGGACCTCAGATAACTGTAAAGGAGGTAAAAAGTCATAGCAGCAACAACACGTGTGGCTTAAGCACTGTAGCTATTTAAAATGGTAGATTAAGCCTCCTGGGGGTTGCTCTTATTTCTTGAAGATGTTATAATGAACAGTGTGGCTTCTTTGCTTGGACGGCCTGTTTCTAAAAATTAATGACAGTTTACCAAATCCTCAACATCCTTTGAATCTTCTGAAACAGGACTGCCCAAAGATGATCCAATGATATTTGATTCTTCGTGATGATGTTGAAGTATGGGATCTGTAATGAGTTTCAAGTTAGTCTTAAATGTATACATTTATTTCTAATCCATGTCAAGAATTTAAAGTATTCTACCAAAGTGTATGATTTAACTTATAAAATTATTAATATCTTTATTATGGGTCCAAAAAAAGCCTAAAACAACTGAATTAAATGGCTGACTGCCTGATTTTCCCCTTAAGATATATCAGGCATATGATAAGAGTTACAGTACCTGTTAGTGTTGTCAAAGGCAAGACAGATTCAGTATCTATAACATCTGATGCCTGGATAAAGCCATGTGGTGAAGGAACGATAAGTATTGTTTCATCATCAATTGTTTGATCAACTTGTTCTTCTATAGTGGGAGACTCTAAACCCTAATAACATAAAAGTTTTTAAAAAATGAGACTCATATTTCCTAGTTAGTTTTCCTTAAGATCCCAAGCACATATATTCTTTTAAAATTAGAATATAAATAAATGAAAGGTTAAGGTCTTAAAAGGACAGAAGTCAACCTTAATGACCTCATTGTATAAGTATATCAAAAAGGAAGTTAAGAGAACTAATTCAGTTATAGGTCACCTAAATATACAAGAAACATTGCTGTTAAACTGGGATGAGGTTCCTAAGCTGAACCACGAAGATCTATTAATAACCACTCTTAGGAAAATGCTTCTATAGATTCTGACAAACATTTTTCAATCTATTACAGGTGAAGAAGTGAAGTTTTAATAATAGTAAGGAACTGTGTGTGTGAAAGAGTATGGTTTTCTTCTTCTTCCTGACTGTCACAAGATCTGTTTGACCACTTCTGCCACAACAACATTGTTGGTTCACTGATACTTGTGAGGTCAGTGGTAGAGGTTTGTGAGACTACAGAAAAAAGGACAGTACCAGAGAATATCCCTCTAAATTATTTCTAAGCTTTTTCCAAACTGAAGGTTTTACGCTCAAGGAAAAGAACCCATTCAGCTGTTCTCTTAAGTGCAACTTACCTCAGTAACATAAGCACTGGCTAAATCAGAGGGCGATTCCTCCTCTTGTTTAAGGTCGGTGTCAGAGATTTCTTCTTCTGTTCTGACCATAACACTATTCATTAGTTCTGTGCTATTTTGGTCACTGAATTTGGATACATGAGCATCATTAAATGATGGCTCCATAGTCATCTTAGGCTGATGAATTTCATCTGGGAAAGTGTCCGCTTCTAGGGCATCTGGAGGCTCAGGAAAATCAGACGACTGAATATCACTATCTACTGTCAGTTCTGCTTGGGATATGGAAGAAGTGATGTCCTCTGTGGCAACAGTCTGAATGATGACTCTTGGTGTGTGACACTGCACTGTGACGTTGTCACTTGTGTTCAACAAATGTTCTGGCTAAAAAACATTAAAGAAAACTATCAATGGAAAAATGATAAAGTACCTATTAGATTTAAGTTATACAACAGATGACATCTATAAGCAGTACCACACTGTCCCCTCTCATATTAATATGTCTCATCTTTGGAACTGCCATGTTTTTAATCACTATTTTTCTAGAACCCCTCTTCTTTACCTACTAGAGCTCTTGCTCTCCTAATGTCCCTATTTTAATGTACATTCATCTTATATAAAGAGATAGAGGGCATGAGAGAAACACTCCAGTGAAGGCAAGGTGATGTCACAAAAACATGTTGCCTGGGACCATAGTGGTAGGAAGGATTATTTAGATAACTGGACTACCTTATAGTTTTAGTGTCAACTAGTGGAGAGGATTAAGATGGCCGACATGAGGTGGCTCGAGTGAATTTCTCCTACAGAGTAAACCAAGGTAGAGTTTCCTCAGCACCCAGAGAGGAATGGATTCAGTAGCATGTCCCACAAATTTCCCAAGGAATTATAATAACCACTTAAAGCAAAGAAGAAAAAAAATCCACCAACTTGGAATGGAACTGGCCAGACTCTTGCTTGTACCACCACAGCCTCCAGATACAGTGGGGCAGGTGAGTGAGGGAAATTCAAGAGTTCTGTGCTGCTGCTGCAAACCTGCAAGGCCTCTTAGCCTTGTGGGACCCCACAGGAAACTGTCTTCCCCACAACCATGCTCTGCTATGGAGTGGAGCAGGAAAAAAGTCTTGAGCAGTGTCTGCTGCCATTTCCCAAGAACTTAACCCTTGAAGGGTGGAGTAGCTGCTTTCTAGCCAGCTTGGGAGAAAACAGCCTCTAAAGTCAAACTCAGCAGCTGCAAACACCCAAGGCCCTGAGCTGGCTGCACCTTAACACAGATCACAGATTGTCTGAATGATGGGAAGCATTGCCACAGCAACCTCTTACTCCCTTTGTGAACTCTTCTGTGCCTGCTCTGTACAACAGCATTACCTCAGTGGCCTGGGGCTCCCTCCTAATACCTGCTGGGGCAGCTAAGAGTACACACTTGTAGGGTACTTCAGCTCCTTTCCCCTTTACTGCCCCAGAGGCCCTTGGTGAGTGTTGCTCCAAGGAAGTGCCCAGATGGCCCAGGCTGAGGGTGGGGCCCTGAGGATAAATTGATTGACTGCTTGCTAGCTTAATTAAGAAATGAAAGAAGAGTCGAATTCTGGGTTCAGTCAGAAGTGAAAAAGGAGATATTCAACGGATACATGAGAAATCCAAAAGATCATCCAAGACTATTAAGAACATCTCTATGCAGACAAACTAGACAGTCTAGATGAAATGGAAACCACCCCCCCAATCTTGGATCAGGAATAGAAACACAGAATAGGCAAAGTAGGCAAGACTGAAAACAGTAATTAGAAGTCTCCCACAGAAAAACTCCAGGACCTGATGGACTCACAGCTGAATTCTATCAAACCTTCAAAGAAGATTTTACTGAAGCTATTCCACAAGACTGGAGAGGAGGGAATCCTCTCTAGCTATTCTCTGAGGCCAGTATCACTCTGATACGAAAGCCAGGAAAAGACAGCAGAAAAAGAAAATGACACACCAATGTCCCTTATAAATACAGATGCAAAAGTCCTCAGCACAATAGTCGCTAGCTAAATTCAACAGCATATAAAAAAAATATATATGCCACAACCAGCTGCGTTTTATCCCAGGAATGCAAGGGTGGTTCAACATATGCAAGTCAATAAACATGATCCACTAAAGAAATATAATTACACACAAAAATCATATGATCATTTCAACGGATGCAGAAAAAGCATTTGATAAAATTTAGCATCCCTTCATGATAAAATGCAAGATAGGCACAGAGGGTACATTCCTCAAAATAATAAAAGCTATATACAACAAACCCATAGCCAATGTCATCCTGAATGGAGAAAAATCTCCCTCAGAAATGGAACAAGGCAAGGATGCCCACTTTCACCACTCCTATTCAACATGGTACTGGAAGCCATAGTCCGGGCAATCAGGCAAGAAAAAGATAAAAAGGGTATCCAAATTGGAAAAGAAGATAGCAAACTATCTCTGCAAGCTGACAATATAGTCATATACCTTAAAACTCCTCCAAGACTCCTGGAATTGGTAAATGAATTGGGCAACATTTTTGAGGATATAAAATCAACACACACACACACAAATAGTAGCACTGCTATATATTAATTGCAGCCAAGCTGATAATCAAATCAAGAACTCAATTCCATTTACAGCAGCAGCCAAAAAGCTCAAATACCTAGGAATATATTTAACCAAAGAGGTGAAAGATCTCTATAAGGAGAATTACAAAACTGATGTAAGAAATTGCAGAGGATACATACAAATGGAGAAACAGCCCATGCCCATGGATTAGAAGAATCAGTGTTATTAAAATGACCATATTACACAAAGTAATCTACAAATTCAATGTAATCCCTACCAAACTACCAATGCCATTTTCACAGAATTAGAAAAAAACAATCCTGAAATTCT